CCCGAAGCAGTTTCTCACCCCGTGTAATCCCGTTTCAAGTGTTTCCTTCTGTAGAGGACAGCCAGGATCATGCTGACGAGCAGGGTGAGCCCCACGACCACAGCAGTCACTATACCCACCACCACCCAAACCGGAAACATGGGCAAAACCTCTGGAGAGAAAGAACAAAATCGTGTTAAGGTCCATTATGACAGAGAGAAGTATCCAATTATTAAGCAAGTTACCATACCCTCTGTTATCCAAGTTACGAGATTCTAGTATGTGAGTAATGACATACAAAGAGTAGCTGATAAAAAAAATGAGGTGCAGAACTCAGCATTTCTATACACACAATGCCTCTCAATGCGCTGAGATCCGAGAAAAACTGGGATGTGGATTCACCTCCACCTGCCCGCCAGCAAAGCAGACGTCGTCTCAGAAGGAGACACCAGAACCTGCATTTCCTGCTGCCTCCCCAGAAACAGGAGAAACAGCTGTACTGTTTTTGCAAATGTTAAGACTTTCTCCTGGATAATATCAAAACAGTATTAATCTCCTTCTTTCCCACCGTTCAGCCCATCAACCATAGTGAATCTGGTCTTACCTCTAATTCACACTGAAAAACTAATACTCCTGACACTGGATCACTAGGCTCCTGAGGGCAGATATATGCAGGGAGAGACCGGCTGCTTCGCCGGCATGTGGGCAGCAGTCCCCGACCCCCAGGTCCCCAGAAGCAGGGCGCATAGCTGCGTGCAGAATGCTCTCACACCCTATAATGTAACTCCTGCTTTCCACCTCAACACGTGACAAAGGGGACTGTGCCATTACTGCCAAAATACTCAGCAAGTACCTTTCTCTACAACATAGAGTCGAATGTGTCCCGGGTGGACAACGATGTCAGGAGGGTTCTTGACATCACAGATGTAGGTGCCGTTGTGGATAAACTGTATGTTTTCTATGTTGATCGATGCGTCCTTCTTGTCAAGGTCACCGGCCCAGCGGATTCTGTCCTTAAATGGTGGGTAATCCCCAATGTACACTTGCCCTTGGGAGTAGTGGAAAAACTGCAATTAGAAAAAAAGGACACATGAGCTATTCCCAAAGGCAAACGTTCTAAATGCAACAACAGGTGAGCTGTGAGAGCCTCTTTACAAAGGCTTCATATGGGAAGAAACGCGTCCTGTTCCACATCTGACATGGAATCTAAGCCAGACAGGGTTCAATCCTGTTTCAGCTGAAAATACACCCTTGTGTGTCATCACTCATCCTCTCGCTATCCTCATGGTACAGCGATTACCATGCATCGCTTTATAAATAAGAAAACGAAGACTTGCCCTGGAGAGTTTGGCTCAGTGGTCAGAGCGTTGGCCTGCGGACTAAAGGGTCTCGGGTTCGATTCTGGTCGAGGGCATGTACCCTGGTTGCAGGCTCGGCCTGGCGCGTGTGGGAGGCAACCAACCGGCGTGTCTCTCTCACATGGGTGTTTCTCTCTGTCTCTCCCCCTCCCCTTCCTTCCAGTCTCTCTAAAAAACGGATGGAAAAAGTATCCTCAGGCGCGGATTAACAACAACAAAAAAAGGAAAGAAAAGAGACTCAAAGAAGCTCTTTGCCCAAGGTCACAAATGATACGAGGTCCTGCAGATATTCACAAAGGATGAGGTGAGGCTCAGGGCTGGAGCGACTTGCTCAAGGAAACAGTCTCACCCTGGCTGACCCTACCGACACCCCTCTGTGGGAAGCACTATGGCCTCAGTTTTACAGACGGGGGCCGGCCCCGGGCCATGCTAACAAGCACCCAGCCTAACCAGCACTCATGTGGGCGACTAACCTTCCTTCCGACCCCATGGCCCTGCATTTCTGTTCTGCCACTTACCTCAGGGTGACTCATCAACATCCTTACTCCTAATTACGCCCCGAATGAGACCACAGGTTGTTTTTCTCATTTCTGAAGCCCTTACAGACTCACTGCACAGTGAGCTCCCAACAACTGCCGCTGAACAGGGAGGGTGTGTGTGTGTGTGTGTGTGTGTGTGTGTCTCGCACACAGAAACACTTCAACAAGGTCGGAATTAACAAGGTCAGTGAGGGGCTGTTCTATCAAAAGATAAATTTCAAAATGGGATGTGATGGTGGAGGAAAGGGCAGGGATGGCAGGCGACAGTGACACACAGAAATGAGAAAACAAGCTGCATTTAAGAGAAGCAGAACTGATTTTTTTTTCCTGGAGAGTCTGAAGCGAGAGAAGGGCCTTGAAGTCTGTCACAGAGGACACCCTCCCTCGTTCTGGAGGTGATCAGTCAGAAGAAGGGATCGCTGATGACACTACAGCAGGAGAGGACCCTGTGAGGTAGAACTGGCCAAGAGCAGTCAAGTGCTCCTACCGACACAGTGGTGTGGGTCCCCTCTGGCTGGAAGCTCCAGGAGATTGTGGTCAACCTGCCGGTGGTGTTCGCAGACTTGAATGTGCACGTCAGCTTCCCTTGTGTCCCATTTGCCACGTAGATTTCTTTTGGGGTGTATACCTCCAAGGCCGATACACCAGCAGTCACTGGAGAGAGACAGACAGGAAGATTAAGAGTAGGATTTCATGCCGGGCCAGTGTGGCTCAGCAGCTGAGCACTGACCTAGGATCCAGGAGATTGCGGTTTGATTCCGGGTCAGGGCACATGTGTGGGTTGCAGGCTCCACCCCCAGTAGGAGGCGGCAGGAGGCAGCTGACCAATGACTCTCTCTCATCATTGATGTTTCTCTCTTTCTCTCTCCCTTCCTCTCTCCTAAATCAATAAAAACATATTTAAAAAAAAAAAAAAAAAAAGGAGTAGGATTTCATTGCCCTGGCCAAGTAGCTCACTTGGTCAGAGCATTGTCTCAATATGCCAAGGTTATGGGTTTGATCCTGGCCAGGACACATATAAGAACCATCCAATGAATGCGTAAATAAGTGGAAAAACAAATCGATGTCTCTCTCTCTTTCTCTCAAAGCAATAAATAATTGAAAGGAAAAAAGGCTAGGATTTAGCATGAATACCACGCTGCATGTTTATCAGAGACAATGACAAAGATACAAGAAAATTACTAGATATATACAGTGACCTGCTGCCGGTGTGTTCTATTTATCTCTGGCAAAATATTCTATAGCCAGGTACTTCCTACAAACAGGATAAACTGCTGACATTCTGGGATTTATTTTTGTTTTCTAGTAACAGGATATTTTTATAGTACTATAGTTTATTCATCCACCTGCTAAAGGCTGCTTCTCTGATGGTCTGATCTGAAAGATATGGAGGCCATCATTTTATTTCTTTAATTATTTTTTTAATCCTTACCTGAAGATATGGTTTTCATTGATTCTAGAGAAAGAGGGAGAGGGAGAGAGACAGGAACATCGATTGGCTGCCTGCCTTTCAAGCTCCGTCCGACTGGGGAATAGAACCCATGACCCTTCCGTGCACAGGATGGCGCTCTAACCAGTTGAGCCACACTAGCCAGGGCAGTTTTACTTCTCTAAATAGTTCTCATATTCACTTGTTACATTTTAGTTGCTAGCACACTAAACTTTTCTCATCTTCCATATATTTTTTATTGATTTTAAAGAGAGGGGGAGACAGGGAGGAAGGGAAAGAGAGAGCAGCAGAGGGAGAGAGAGAAGCATTGATCTGCTGTTCCACTTATTCATGCATCATTGGTTGCTTCTTGTATGTGCCCTGACTGGGGATTGAACCCACAATCTTGGAATATCAGGACGATGCTCTAACCAACTGAGCTACCCGGCCAGGGCTCATCTTCCATATCTAAAGCAATTAAAACTATTCTAGGTGAGATAACATGTCATTTTAGAGCCACGCATTTTCTTTAACTGACCCACATAATCATGTCTTCATTAGTGAAATCAGTGTGTGAGGTCCATGTATACTCAAGAAATAGTCGGCCACACTGGGTCCCATTTTCATTCACCCATTGAACTTTTCCATTAGCCTAAGCCCAGGAAATAGTATTTAAAATGTCTATCACTTGGAACAGAAAGATAGCTTTTCCCCCCAAGATCTATAATCAGAAGCAACTGCAGGAATTATTAAGGATTGCTGCTAAAATAAAATAATCTTCCCTCGAAAAGAGACACTTTCATGGAAGCAATGCCTAAAATTGGAAACAATGAGAGCAGATACAGAAAACACCCATCTTCAAAATAAGATCTTTTTCAAAGAAATCGTTTGGAGAGAATCCATATCTGCAGTGCTCCAGTTATTCTCAGAATGTTACAGACACCAGAATAAGGAAGGGGGTTGTCACCTGGGACTGAGGGGCATGTTTAGAAACTTGCCTTCCTTCACTCTGACTCGGGCCAAGGAGAACAGGAGGGCTCCCCCAGGCCTCCCAACACCTTCCAAATGTTTATTCTCAGGACACAATGGGCACTTTGGGCTATTCTTTTAAATAAACTGATAGCCACACTGCACCAAGCAGATTTTTTCTGCTAAAGAGGGTGGATTATTATTATAGGGGAACAATGGGTTATTATTTGTGGTCCAAACCTCAAAACAAGCCCTCCTTTCACACAAGAAGCAAACAAAAGGCCTTCCTGGCTATCGCGGGCAGGCAGCAAAGGAGCCCCAGGGCACTTGAGTGCAGGCCGAAGGACGGAGCACAAGCCTGGAGAGCTGGCCCCTCATTCCAGGAAGCAGCTCAGCTTGGAAACTCTGGTTTACTCTTTGGTTCCGACCAGTGTTCTCCAGTGGGGAGCCCTGCAAGGAAAGCCAGTCTTTAAAGTCAGTAAATAAGGTTTCTCAAGGATTTTCCCAAACCAGATCCCTTCCCCAAGGGCTGGTTGCAAGACTGTTACCCTGAAATGTGATTTACAGGTGGAATTAGGCCAAGTGTCCAAGTTTCCAGCCAGGAATTTTAACCAAAGACTAACCAAATCCCTAAATGGCTTTTCGACAATCTGTCTGAGGCAGATTTAATTTCACTACCGTCTTGATCCAAGCCCATCGTCCTTCATTTGGGTCATTTCAGTGGCTTCCTGAGATGGCGGCTGTTCCACCATCACCCGCTCACCTGCAGCCAGTCCAGGGAGAGGCCAGCGAGATCTGGTCCAAACGCCTGGAAGCTCCTAGCCCTCCTTTGCTCAAAACTCTCCAGGGTTCCTCGCGTCAGCCAGGATCAGGTCACAGTCCTCACAGGCCCGGCCGCCTCACAGACCTCTCCTAATCGTCCCCCTCACACACAGCAGCAGCCAACCTGGTCACCTGTGCTCCTCTGCCTGTGATGAGCATCCCCAAGTCTAGACATTGAAGGTGTCCCAGGCGATAGTGACGCATGAGACAGGAGGGAAGAGGGATCCACTGTGTGAAACACTGCATCTCTGCACAGCGGATCCAAGGGACGCCCTTGCTTAACCCTGCCCATGGCTACCGTGCACAGGACAGAACCCCACATGCACAGTATGGTTTCTGACCCACCGCCACGGGCCTGGGAGGAACTGAACATTGGGAGGAACTGAACCTGACTGAGTTCCCTCTCACGCTGCCCAAGCAGGGAGGAGCTCACTGGCCTGCCAACACCTGGGAAGGTGTGCTTTGTCCAGACTTTTTCTAAGTGACTAGGAGTATTATGGAAACACACAGTGAAATCACTGTGGAATTCAGATGGCTCATCTCCAGAGTCACAAAAAGGAGTTTTTAGGGGCTAGTTGAAATGGCTAAAAATGCAAATGTAAAGAACACCGAGGTGTAGAGAAACTGTTGTTCTAACCTGCATCACTCCAGTCACCGCCGCTGGGATCCGGCCTAAATACGAGAGTAAATATGTTTCTTTTAGGCCGAAGAATTACAACTAGGGGATAGTGGCAAACATCGTGCGAAAAGTGCTAAAGCTTCAGTTTAAAAACCCATAGATGGGAGAGAAGGTGTTGAATCCTGGAGGAACCAATCGCCTCGGGAACAAAGACACAGAAATGAAATGAAATAAGAAGATGGAGCGAGCGAGACACCAATGTTTCCCGATCCCGCCAACTCCGGATCCTGGTACGCGTCACACACACACCCTTCCACGTGGCAACAGGAGCTGAGCTCACTTTCTTCCTGAGGAAGGTATCTCACCTCCAGAGTTCAAGGCGAGAAAACAAATGAAAACAGCCCTTCTCCAAGGAGACCGAGTCAAATGAAAAGAGCCTTAAAAACCATTTGATAAGTAACCAAAAAAATCTGTGGCATCAACTCGCCAGAGCTCATTGCTAATAGTGGTCAAATGCGATATCCCAAAGTTGATACGCTCTTCTATTTGGGACGGAGAACCATAACAAACGGGGGGGG